TCGACAGATTCCCGTACACAGGAAATTCAAATGTACGCTTTTCCCGGGGAAACTTTAATGGGAAACTTCACCGAGGTGAAATAGGAGCGCGGTATTGGATAGAAAGACATTGATCCCGCCATCGATCTTCAGCAGTTAAAAAACTTTACTAAATGCACTCAATCTTATCCAATAAAACGTTACCTCGAAAACAAATATGAAATTGAGTTGTACGACTCATATAAAGATCTTTTTTATTTTTAGCTGGATAAACTTTAAACCCAATAGTTTCTAAAAAAAAATAAATAAACAAATATATATTTGCAATATTTCATATACAGTCAAGTTACTGGTCTTAAGTATGAGGAGAATCCAGTCAAAATTGTTTCTTTATTAAATCTGTTTCCGTGGAGCTGGTATCTTCTCGGATGTGATTAATCGCTTTTTGATGCGTGTCTCATTTTCAAATTTTTTACACTCTTCTACAGATAATACAGGCAAGGAATAGTTTCGCACAAAAGTGTGTTATTAAAAAATTCGATTAATTAATTCAACATGATCTCATGATTTGTATTAAGATCGCATTCCACTTCTTGAATCTCCAGAATTTAGTGGTCTTTCTTTTTTAAGTTGTATTCCGAGTCTCTAAGTTTTACCGAGTGCTACACATTAGGGGATATTCGAGTTTGTTTTGTTTTTTTTCATTATTTTTGAATCATTTTCTTTATTGTAAATTCCGCAGTCATTTTAGGAGCAAAGTATTAGAAATTAATTATTAAAAAACCGGTTACAATATCAAAACGTTACGACTCGATATTCGTCGGCCAATGGAAGTCGCTTTCAGCTGTCTCATTTCTTGAGGTACAGCCCCCTAGCGGCTCAGTGGTACATCTGACGACTTGCGACGCTAAAAAACCGGGTTTCGATACCCGTAGTGTGCACAGCACAGATAGCCCATTGTGTAGCTTTGTGCTTAGTTACAAACAAACAACAAACAGTTCTTACGATATTTAATAGCTTTGTAGCGCCATCTACTGGTTTTCATTAATAGCAACTAAAGGTCTGAGCGAGGAATGTCTTTATTGGCAAAAGTTGGAATTGAAATGACAGTATATCACCCTTTCTCTCACATACATATTTTATTCGATTTATTAAATAAAATGTAATCTTGTGATATGAAATATGTTACAGAATGTGGACGACAGTTTTAAAGTAAGAACTGGGGAATATATACGTGCAGTAAAATATTGAAACATAATAAAAATCCACTCGCGCAGAACGTGCATAATGAATAGATCATTCTATTGAACTGGAAAATTATATAAAGTTTAGGGTAAGAAACAAAATGTTGTACTCTGATGAACTTTTCGAAGTGTGAGGTATTGTCATATCACTCACGGCCATCTCCTTTTAATAGAGACGTAGGCCGGGATCCCTCTACGCAAAATATCTGAAATCAACTTTAGAAAGTGTGTATAATAAATATATTTTTTTTACAAAGTTATTCTTAAATTTTTACTAGTTTGCAACAAAAAAAAAGTTTACTATAACTGAAATGTGACAACTGAAACAGCAATAGCTTGAATGAGGTTAGACATAAAAAAAACAAACATGGCGTTATCTTTTTGGTGATCATTAGATGAATACGAAACAGCCAAGTTTAGAAAGTCAAAAGAAAAATTCTTGTAAAGTTTCTGTAACACAACCTGAATTAAAATAGGATGTCTCCCCTCTATCTTCTAATATGTCGTGTTTGTCAGCGAAGTCCTCCCACAGTTTTGGAGTTAGCAGGACCAGAATTGGCAGGCTGACTCTAAGTAGCCCAGGGGGGGGGGTGCCCTTACTTGTACGACGTAGTCCCCTATCAAGGGAAGCTAAAACGTTTCTTGAAGATCACTTAAGCATGATGGAGGTCTAGAAGTGGCTTTGCATGGTCTCTGAACCCGAACTGAAGGTCGAATTTTGTGTTCCTGGCCTCTCCCTCGGGGCCCAGGACGCCACATTTGAAACTATATTCGTACCCCTATTTACAAGTCAGCAGGGCCGAACTTGGAACACGTGCTCGGGTACGAACCGTTGAAATAGCTATAGAAGTAACTGAGGATAATGAAGGAGCTTGATCGGAACATTAGACCCTCTGTGAATAACGAGGGTCCTTTGAACGCCGCAACGAAGCGAGGGTATTAAGTAGAATAACTTAAGAAACTAATGCTGCTAAAACTATTGAAACTTCTGCAAACTCCTGCTACGTTGTCTTCGAAATTTAAGAAACCACAGCTTTTTGTGAAAAAAAAAACTCTAATAAGGAAAAGAAAAAAACAAAAATATAGAGGTGAATTTAATTTGAGCGTTTGTTTGTTTTAGAGCAAGGCCATATCGTGCTATCTGCTGTATCCACCGAGAGGGGGAATCGAACCCCGAATTTTAGCGTTGCAATTTTGTAGACTTACCGCTGTCCCACCAATAGACATAAAAAATGTTGGGTTTGCTTGTGTTTTTAGAGCAAAACCACTTTAGGAATCGAACCCCGGATTTTAGTTTTGTAAGTCCGTAGCTTTACCGCTATCTCATCTGGGGGGAATAATCATTGGAGAAAATAGGCTGATCAAATTGGAAAAATGTTTCACTTCTTCTTCACTTGTAGTTTAGAAGTATCATGAAGTCATAGATGATTTATTCTAATTTATGTTATATTGTTCTTGATCTGTTGATTAAAGTGGGGAGACTATCTTATAGTAATTCATGTTGTGTGTTTGTCAGAGAAGTCCTCACACAATACCGGGAAGGCAACTAGCGAAGACCACCCACCGCCAACTTTTGAGCTACTCTTTTTACCAACGATAAGTGGGATTGACCATCACATTTTTAGTTGAGATTTTATTTTATTTTACCAATGTCGAAATGCTTGCGGGTCGTGGATTCGAATTTCGTCACCGAACATGCTTGCCCTTTTCAGCCGCGAGGGCGTTATAAATGTGACGGTTAATCCCACTTATCGTAGTAGGTTAAATTACTTCTTTTTTATTTCCAGGAACAACAACAACAACGACAACAAAATGCACATGTATTATACCAAACACTAATACAGTAATTCCTTTTGGCTATTCACGTGATAATCCCCCCTTCCGCCCTCAGATCTCACTATCAAGTTTGTCGTTCTGAACTTCAAGAGTATATTGTTTTTTATTGGTCCACAGTTTCAATGTAGTGTTTTATTATTGGTTCACAGTGTCAATGTAGTGGTTTTTATTGGTCCACAGTTTCAATGTAGTGTTTTTTATTGGTCCACGGTGTCAATGCAAAGTCATTTCTACACTGGCAAATAAACATTCACAAAATTCGTCTATTTTACGTGTTAGAGATAAGTGGAGTAGAACTTCTGGTAAAAATCAGTTCTTTGTTGAATTATTTACTAATTGTGAACCCTCTCTGTAAGATCAGTTCTTTGTTGAATTATTTAATAATTGTTAACCCTCTCTGTAGAAATCAGTTCTTTGTTGAATTATTTAGTAATTGTTAACCCTCTCTGTAAAATCAGTTCTTTGTTGAATTATTTGTAATTGTTAACCTTCTCTGTAAAAATCAGTTCTTTGTTGAATTATTTAGTAATTGTTAACCCTATCTGTAGAATCAGTTCTTTGTTGAATTATTTACTAATTGTTAACCCTCTCTGTAAAGTCAGTTCTTTGTTGAATTATTTGTAATTGTTAACCCTCTCTGTAAAAATCAGTTCTTTGTTGAATTATTTAGTAATTGTTAACCCTATCTGTAGAATCAGTTCTTTGTTGAATTATTTACTAATTGTTAACCCTGTCTGTAAAATCAGTTCTTTGTTGAATTATTTAGTAATTGTTAACCCTCTCTGTAAAAATCAGTTCTTTGTTGAATTATTTAGTAATTGTTAACCCTATCTGTAGAATCAGTTCTTTGTTGAATTATTTACTAATTGTTAACCCTGTCTGTAAAATCAGTTCTTTGTTGAATTATTTACTAAATGTTAACCCTCTCTGTATATTGTAACCAAATAAATTTCAAAGTGAAAAGCAGTGAATGGTTCTTATAATACCAGCCTCTTCAGTGGCACAGCGGTATGTCTGCGAACTTACAACGCTAGGATCCGGGTTTCGATACCCGTGGTGTACAGAGCACAGATAGCTCTTTGTGTAGTTTTGTGCTTAATAACAAACAACAACGTACAATACTTGTATGTAAGTAAATTCATGGTATCAGAAAAACATGTAGGTTCAATAAGTCTTGATACAAAATAATAAAAGAAAAACCTATAACCCGAGCGCTTTCGAAAGGTGGACCTTGTTTCTAAGGGACAAGCTGTCAAGGTTTTTTTTTTATCAATAAACAAACCTGTCATTCAAGAATTGTTAGAGCAAGACCGGATATAAATTATGGACTTCAAGTGACATATACAGATACTTAGATCATGTATCAAATTGTTCTAATACGACTGTTTTTATCTTAATATCAATTTGATTAGAGTGTCGACGATATTATTTGAAATAAACCTGTATTAGTATCTTCCATTTTTACTTCGGTTTGTTATGCACTATTTGATGTTACGTATCAGTTTCAACCTTAAGTAATGGGTTTCGTTAATCAGTAGGGTCATTCCTTTAACACAATGATTTGAGTAAGACTTACAACTTGTAATTAAAAGAGGCAAAAACATTATTTAAATAAACAAGAAAAGTAAACATTCGAGCGGAGATTACGAAAAAAAATGCTCGTAAAATTTATATCTTGATTCATACCTAATAATACGTTTTCATTTATTTGGATATTTTATTGTGATTTTTTTTAAGGTATGGTGTTCGTTAGCTTAGAGGACAATAAGATGACTTTTTGGAAACTTTACATCAGAAAATAATTTTATTGCGGTGTTTTTAAAATATTGAACAAAATAAAATGCTCTATTTAAATGATATCTTAATAAGGTGAACAAGATGACACATTTGAAACCTGAGATAAAAAAAAATGGTTTTATTGTGATTTTCTTTTATTTTTAGTTGAGATGGATTTCCCGAACACCGAGATGTTGGGTCGGTTCAGAAGTGACTACGCCACCACTCGGTCAGGTTTTCTTTTTGAAGTAACACAAATAGAATGCCCGTCAGAAATGCTATCCACCAACCAATCGGAAGTGGAAAATATACCAGAAGCTTTATCCACCAACCAATCAGACGCGGAGAATATATCAGAAGCGTTATCCACCAACCAATCGGATGGAAAGATTGCACCCAATGTAACTGAATCAAGTCAAATGACTCTAGGAATTAAGTCAACACAACAAAATTTTGAGGATGAGACAAAGCCTTCGGGTTACAAACACTAGATAGTGTGTTTAAAGTTATTTGTTATTATTTGTGTTTAAAGTTAAGGAATAATAATAATAATAATTATATCATTTATTAAGTTTTTGCTTCACACTATTTTGCAGTAGAAGCAGAAATTGTACGAAAATTAAATGAGCACCAAAATTAACAATATCACATTTAGGCCTTTGTGCCCATTTTTAAACATTAGCACATTATTAGTTTGATATACCACTACGCATGTCTGTTGAGCGCTATTACGTCACGCCAACTTCATAAAATGTAGAGGGAGTAAAACTTCGTCATTGTACATGAAAGTTCTAATGGTGAAACACGTAACAATCTCTTGAAAGCTTCAGATTTACCCCCACCTTTTCTAACCTCATGTTTACAAACATTAGGTAATTCTTAATATCCTGTTTGGAATTCGCTTTTACGTCGTTTTTATCTTTTTACTTCTCTCTTTCTGTAATAAGCAAGCTCCAAACAAAAACAAATTGAAACATCTTGCTGTTACTCCATTTCATTCCGAAACTGTCAAGAAAATATCACCTCCTATTTTTCTTCTTCACTATTAGTAAATGGACGATCTTTTGTGATCAAGCTATTAAGATGTTAAGATTTCGAATAGAAAATTGCCTCATATATTCTTTTCCCGCGTTGTCGAAAAGAATTGATTCTAGAATAAAGATGAAGCTCGTCGGGCGGAGCTTCAGTACTGTTCACAATAGCTCTATAACTGGGTGTTCACAAAAATTAGATTTGATAGGAAAAAAAATCTTTCCTGGGCCAGTCTGCTCCGATTAAATAAAAACGAATGGAGGTGGATGTACTGTTAAATCTGACGAAGTAAAGAGAAATTTCTAGAATAGAAAGCTCAAGAAAATAACAAGTTTTCTGTCGTGTTCACCACCACCCCCAGTCCCTCTGATATATATATATAGTTCAAAAGTAAATTCTTTAGGTGGCTGCGCACAAACTATTTATAAAATCTTTAAAGATGTTAAATTAATAAACGTCTAACGCTTATTTGTTTTTACTCAAAACTGCCAAGGTTTTCTGCGCTTTTTCTACCACAGGGAATCGAACTCGGATTTTATCGTGGAAATTTACTGCTCACCCCTGGGGGGACAACTTCTTTCGTAGAAGGTCAAAGTTTGTTTTTTTTTTTGTTTGTTTTTAATTATGCACAAAGCTACACAAGGACT